AGGCGGAGGCAGAGGCGGGCCTATGAGTTCGAGGCTAGCCTGGTCTACAGAGCTAGTTCCAGGACAGCTAGGGCGTTACCCAAATAGAATCCCGGCCCCAAAAACCAAAACAAACAAACAAAAAACCCACAAACACAAAACCATACCATATGCAAAGAGCAAATCACAATTCACACACCAAACACTGAAAAAGCTGCACACGGCAATCACCGCAGGACCACACACTGTGAGACCTACCAACACAAGGAAACACAGAATTCAGAGCAGGAGTACTGAGGCGGGGAGAGGGTTCAATGGCGGTGTGGGGGATGGGGCAATATACTTGGTGGTGGTGCACATGCAGGTATCCACTTTATTATGTTCTTCATACACTTTTATAGGCACGTAACATAATGAAAAACATGTAAGTGAAGGCAGCCTAAGTATCAAAGAGAAGTGCGGCAAAGTGGTGTGATTTGGGGGAGGGGTCTGAAGTGGGAGTGGGAAGGAGCTGTACTTGCTCATGGCTGTGACAACTATCTTAAGAAGAGAGAGGAGGCCGGGCGGTGGTGGCTCACGCCTTTAATCCCAGCACTCGGGAGGCAGAGGCAGGCGGATCGCTGTGAGTTCGAAGCCGGGCTGGACCGACAGCCTCCAAAACAATACAGAGAAACCCTGTCTCGTAAAAACAAAAAAAAAAAAGGAGAGGGGAGAGAGGATCAACCACTGACACTTGCTGCTTACCAAAAGGACTTTAAAACTCAAGTGTCCACACAATAAGCAAAGCTTGGGCACCGAATGGGCAGCCAATGCTAGGCGGTGTTCGTGCTCTGACCTCACAGCCTGGTTTGGGACCCACCAGACCTCCTGAGGGAGGGACACTTTCACCGAGGAGGGAACTGAAGCTACGGAGGGACACCGGTGACAGTCTTCCGTTTGAGAACTTGGCTTGGGTTAGAATGTTATGTGGGGTTATCAGTACCAAGTGCAACTTCGGACGGAGCACAGGAGCCCTAGACCTTTCCAAAAATCGAAGAACCCGTTGATTCTGAACACATTTAGCTTCGGGCTTTCAAATACGGGCTCCATAAAAGAAACAAAGGGGGCGCTGGGGGTGAGGCACAAGGCATAGGTAGTCGTTTTTGGACAGCAGTACGTCAGCTATCACCTAACAGTGACAGTAACGAGGCGCACTTTCTCCGCCTGGCCCATTAAGAGACAGGGACAGGAGCTACACGAGTCCCAGGTCAGCCTTGGCTGCATGGTGAGACCATGTCTCAAAAAATATTTTTTAATTTACATTAGAAATAAACAACTTGTTACGGAGCTAGGTCCTAACTCGTGCCCTCTACGGTCCTCAATATACCCGTCAGCGCCGGACACCACTCTCGTACGCCGCGCAGACCCCACCGCAGTCCTCCCGTCACCCCGACAGATGCCCGCTTTGGTACCGCAGCACCCCGCGGCCTTCATACGCACCGCACGCCCGGAAGCCGACCAGCAGCGGTCACGCCGGAAGCCGCCCGCGGGGCCCGCCTTCGAGGCGGGGAGAGCTCCAATATGGAGCGCCTATTGGTGAGCTCGGCGCGTTCTCCCGCCCATCAGGGGAGCATTTCCAGTTCCCCACCCGCGCCGTTGCTATGGCGCCTCAGCCGCTGTTTGGGTTGAGTCTCGAGCTACGCAGTTTCCCGCGCGGCTTTTGTACTTCCCGGAACGGCTTCCTCCGCCCCCGGGTCCCTCTAGTCGGAGCAGAGCCCACGTTCTGTCTTGTGGGTTAAAAGTGCCGGCTTTAGACTGGAGAGGAAGAATGTGGGTTTTGTTTTCCTGTAGCCTGAGCTAGAAAGAATCTTGGCTCTGCGGTTACTGGTTGTGCGTTGGCCATTCGTGGAGCTACTAAAGGAGGTTAATAACAGTCGGCTCTGGGGTGGCTATGTAGCTCAGTAAAGTGCTTGCTGGGTAGACAGTGTGTCTCAGAAACCAAAGTGGAGGTCATCTGAGGAGCCACATCTAAAGTTGACCTCTGGCCTCCACACCACGAACACGAATACGCACGCAAAAGTCCTGAAGTGTTGACAAGATTTTTTAATACTTCTTTGTTTTCGGTTTGTTTGTTTGTTTGAGACTCGGTTTAAAAGAACTAATGTTCAGCAAGGGCCAGGATAGCAGCTGTGAAGTGTGGCGTGGAGGTGCCTTAACCACGCTCACCTAAGAGTTGTGAGACATGATGAAATTACCAAAGGGAGTGACTTCAAAGAAATCACTTCCGTTGACTGCTGAAGGCGTTTTCTTTGCATGCACTCCAGGCTCGAATCTCAGAGATGGAAATGTACCCTTGCCCAGGAAAAGTGACTAATACTGCGATTGCACAAAGTGCATAGTCTAATCTCTGAAAGCACATTATTTGTCTCTCATCGACCCTGGAGTCTTGGACAGCTCCTTAGTCTCTGAAGAGGTCTTCATCTGAGTAGGGAGACTAACAGTATAGAGATAGTTAAAAACTTGATCTCTGGGAGGTGGAAGACCAGGGTCAAATCCTGCTTCTTAAACGCCAAATCTATTGAGCTTTAGGACAAAGCACTCAATCGACCCCTGGCCTCAGCTGCCCATTTGAGTAGGAAGGATAATAGTATCGGGCAGCGGAAAGGGATGTGAAAATGAACAGTGGGGGCAGGGTTAGGGTGTGCCCATTTCCCCTAATGTCCTGGTTCCTGAAAAGTCCCTTTTGTTAGTCATCTGTCAGATATGCTTGTTGGACCAGGTGTAATCTGCTACCTGGAATCCCTGAAATGCTTAGCAGTGTAAGATATCCCACATTCTCCCTCAGCCCCTACTCCCTTTCAGGCCGTTTTCCAGCTTAGCCAGTCAGGAATAGATTGAGAAGTTAAATATCATCTAATGAGGAACACCCAAGCCTCCCCATGAATTGAGGCTAAGATAGCATATTTTGGACACGTGTGACCTTCTAATCAACCTGGCACACCCTTTTGACAAAAAGACTGCCTTGCTGGGTAATTTTTGATTTGGCCATGTATTTCTTTGTGTGACACCAAAATATTAATTTATCAATTAGACCCACATGGTAGAAAAAAACTGACTCCCAAAAGTTGTCCTCTGACCTACACATGCACCATACTGCCCCCTAAGACGCACACACGAGAGAGCGCGAGCGCGCGCCCGCACACACACAAACACACACATAAATCTAAGTCAAGGTATCTCACAGAAGACTGTGGCATAACAAGCCAATCTGAAAAGTGAGACTCCTGGCCACTACAGGACAGCATTTTGCCTTGGCAGCATCTGTTTGGAGCTGGGGAGAGAGTCTCTCCTCTTTTGTCATGAAGCTGTGTTTTCCTCTTACGCAGGACAGAAAAGCTGAGGAGAAAAAACCCTGGGTCCAAGGACCAAGGAAGGAGGGTGAAAAATAGAAGGCTTAAAAGGGAACCATATGGGCCGGGCGTTGGTGGCCTTTAATTCCAGCACTCGGGAGGCAGAGGCAGGCGGATCTCTGTGAGTTTGAGGCCAGCCTGGTCTACAAAGTGAGTTCCAGGACAGCCTCCAAAACAATACAGAGAAACCCTGTCTCAAAAAACCAAAAAAAAAAAAAAAAAAAAAAAGGGAACCATATGCAGGGCAGTCAAGACTGGGAAGATCTTGAGGAGGCCTAAGCCGTGGTCAGGATTGTCAGGGTAGTCTGAGCAGTTCCAGAAAGATGGGCCATAGGTTTACAGTTTGGACAACGGACTCCACAGAGTATTCAGGAACCCAGAGCAGACCCCAAAAGAAGTGAAACAGGAGTGGGGGCAGCTGAGCATTCTCTTAGGAAGTATGTTATAGAAAGGGAAGCCTTGGAAACCCAGAAGCCAGCTGGAATAAAGAACAGAGAGGAAAAAAGAAAACATAAGAGATGTGTCATGGGCATATGGAGGTAGGATTACCCCCACCGAAGAGAGTAAGAGGCACCTCTGAAATGGGAGTTATAAGGTCAAATACAGCTAGGCACTGCAATTTTGGCTTTCTATCTTCTCTATAAAGGAGTATCATTCTGCCTAGTGGGAGCTGAGGAAGTGCTGGCGGGGGGAGTGAGAGGATGGAGCTGAAAGATTTGGAACACACGTCAAGATGAGTGCAGAAGAGAGGTTAAGGTTGGCACCCTGGCAGCAGATATGATGGTTACCTGAGCCCTGCTCCATCTCATTGGAAAAACTAATACAGATTCGTCTAAAGCGGCCTTTGCTTGAGTATGTGCAGCTGACTCCAGGATGTAACACACCTGTAGGCAGCTGCTTTGAAGTGATGCTCCATGTGATGGCAGGACCCAGAAGATGCTGGGATATTCATATTCAACCCATGATTCAGGAAAGTTCCAGCAAATGAGAATGAGAAGGGTAAGTCAGTTCGAGGGCTCAGTGAGGTGGTCTGGTACAGTGGGCCTAAGAATGTGGTATTGAAATCCAGTCTGCAGCAGGCCTTCCCTCTGACCTTCTGAGACATGGTCTGTGAATCTCTAACAGCCTTCCAGGTGCTGAGAAACTGAGTTTACATCAAAGAGGGTATTGGTTTTGGAATCAGGCAGCAAGGTTGCAGGCTTATGCTGTGAAACCACTCCCATCCTCAGAAAAGTATTACTCCTGCTTCTGCTCTGTGGGCACCTGATTCCTCTCTTCAGAACCCCCTGCATGATGTTGTCTGTCTGTCCATGGCATTAATAACTCTTCTAATAAACTTCATACTCCCAACAATTCCTTTCAGTGTCCCTCTTGAACCCACATTCAAGACCTTTCAGTAGGAACACATACTGAGGCATGACTGAGGTCCACCAGAGAGAACAGGCCTGTCACTACAGTAATGAAGATACAAAGTCTCTTTTTGGCTCTGTGTTTGCCATTTTTGATATACCAAGCATAGACAATCCACTCCATGACAACGTTGCTGCTCAAATGCTCCCTAGAAAGTTGAGTCTAAAACGTCAGAGAACTTTGGCCACATAAAAGTTCTGCGCAAGACAGAGGACACTGAGGGAGGTGACCAAGACCTGAGCTGAAGAGGAAGCTTCAGGACAGGGGTCCCACTGAGCAGGTGGATCATTTGTCTGAATACTATGGAAGGGATCAGAAAAATCATGAGCTTAACTTTGTAGCGTAGAGAAAGAGCTTTGATGTGTTCTTGTCAGTTATTCTTGGAACAGGTACAGAAGCTGTGTGTTGGCCTCAAAGCTCCAGCAGCTTCCAGAGAATCTTCAGATCACACTCAACGAACCACAGCACAGTGAGTCTAGAAGTCAACAACATGCCAAGTGAGAAGCCCATGCGCAAACTGTGCCGAAATCAGTTACTGCAGCTGCTTCTGAGGAAGGGGCCAGGAAGTCAGGTGATTTTTTTTCTTTTTTCTTTTTTACTGTAAACACCTATTTGCAAAAAAATAAAATTAAATTAAAAATTGTAAGTATACATTTGAGTTTTCTTTCTGAAGCTAGGGATGCTCATGGCAAATGTTCCCACAGGTATTTGTTTTATTCATCCTTATGACCTTTCTGAATGATTACATATTTTTTGTTATACATTTTTTAAAAAGAAAAACAGTCTATCTGGAAACTGAAAAGTACACGTAGGTTAGCAAGAAAAGCAATCTGGTAAATGCAAAACACTCAGAAGTAAGTGACTAAAACTAGCATGGCAAAGCAGCCTGCAGACCCAAGGAACAAATGGCCAGAAGGAATGAATACAAAAGCTGGCATAGCAAGGCAGCCTGGGATCCAGCAGACATTAGGAGGGAACTCTTGCTAATGTCATTATCACAGGGGTAAGTTACTCAGTGAAGCAACAGGAAAATGTCAGCTAAACAGAGAAAGCAGAAGGAAGGGCACAATAATAAAAAAGCAGAAATGGGTACAAAATGAAGTTATAGAAACCAAAAACTGGTGCTCTACAACAGACCTGGGAAATAAACATCTTCTAAGGTTTCTGAAGAAAGTGGGACAACAATTATTATAAATGGCAAAGGGAACACAGAAGATGCAGTAGCACTTTGAGGAAGGTAAGAGGCAGATAGAGAATTTGGCTAAGGAAGGGCAGACTTTCACCAGGTTGGGACTTAGTATAACCACAGCAAGTTGCTTGGGATCCTTCTGCCTTCACCTCCTGTGTCTGGGATACTGGCTTGCACCACCATACCTGGCTCAGTATGAACAACTTTGTAGGGGAAAACTTTTGAAAAATTAAAGAGTTGCTTTCTTGATAAGACCATAAACTTTAAAACTTGACTAAAGAAAAGTAGAGCAGCAATTATCAATCACATTGAAATAATAAAAATGGATTTGCTCCAGCTCCCAGAATGCCCAGGCCAAGGAAAGAAATGAGAACTGAGCAGGGCAGGGAGAAGAGGAGAGGGGATGAGAGAGGAGAGGAAAAGGGGGAAGGGGAGGGGGAGGAAAAGAAAGTAGGGAGGGGAAAGAGATGGGGAATATATTAGGCAAGTTGCACAAGAATTATGAAAATATGAACATATATGATATGTTCTAGGAGGCTAATTATCTTGACACCAAAATAACAAGAACAAAATCAGAGAAAACACAAATGCAGCTACTTGTGAAAAGATTCATTTTTAATTCTATGTATATGTGTGTATGTGTGTGTCTGAGAACTGGAGTTACAGTTGGCTGGAAGCCATCCAATATGGATGCTGGGCACCAAACATGGGTCTGCTGCAAGAGCTGAGTGTCTATCTCTCCAACTCCAGCACAGCTATATCTCAAAACAGATGCAAAACTTTAATTTGCTGGTTGTTATGGCTATTCTTGGTTGCCTACTTGACTGCATCTAAAATTAACTAAAATCCAAGTAGCTGGATTCACCTATAGGGATTTTTCTTAATGAAATTACTTGAAGTGGGAAGACCACACCTTTAATCCAGATCTTTTGAGGTGGGAAGATGCACCTTTATTCTGGACCACACCTTCTTGTGGCAGCCTCTATAATGGACATGGTAAAGGAAGCTTTGCTCTTTACTGCTTGCCCTCACTCTCAATGTATTGACTTTAGAGACTACTACTTCAGGATTCCAATGTATACTCACGACAGCTGGTACATCCAGCCTCATGAACTGAACAAATACTGGATTCTTGGACGTTTTGTTTGACTAGCTAGACCACAGCCTGTAAGGCACTCTAATAAAACTTGTTCCTCTTGAGAACCCTGACTAACACACGGGTGCAACAAAAGATGGGGGGTGGTCTGGAGAGATGGATGCTCCATGGTTGAGAGTACTGGTTGCTCTTCCCAAGGTCCTGAATTCAATTCCCAGCACTCACATGGTGGTTCGCAGCCATCCATAACTGTAGTTCCGTGGGATCCAAAACCCTCTTCTGTTGTGCAAACATGCTCGCCAACAAAACACCCATATACATAAAATACATAAATAAGTCTTCAAAAAAAGATATGGGGAAATATTCAATCTTACTACTAATTGAAAGTAGAAACAAGAAAAAAAGATACATTTTCACACATAAAAGTGGTGAACTGTTGACAAGAATAAGAAGAGACCAACATTTTAAGGTCATGTGCTGGGGTGGAAGCTTCCTAGCTACCATGAAGGAGTTTCATGTCTCTGACGTTGCAAGGCATCATCCAGCGATTCAACTTGTTGGAACTCAGCTAGAGAATCCCACTTACATGCCAAGAAGATTGCGGCAACAGAGGAAAGATGGGAACAGTCTATGCATCCACTGACAAGAAAATCAAAATGCAAAATAAACCCATGCCAAGATCCTGTGGCCTTAAAAGGAATGAGCTCACTCAGACTCATAAGCACCTGCATGTGTAAGTCCTGAAAGCACAGAATGAAGAAGAAAAAGAGAGGAGTGGGACCCGATTTTGATCCCTGGGACCCACGTGGTAGAAGGAGGGAACTGACTGCTGCAAACTCCTCTGCCCTTTGCACATACATGTGGTCACTCACAAGGGGACACACACACACACACACACACACACACACACACACAAATACATGCAAATGTAAAACCACAAAAGGATGCACGCATTAGAGCTACCATCTATACAAGATTGGTGAGATACAAGAAAAAAGTGAGGGGTATGTGACACCTCTCCAGTCAAGGGCTCTATCCTAAAGATTTTAGTTAATAATTTGCTTTGCTTTGTTTTGAGACAGGGTCTTTCAATTTAGTCCTGGCTGCCCTGCTTGTATGTAGACTTGCTATGTAGACTAGACTGGCCTCAAACTCACAGAGAACTTCTTGCCTGCCTTCCAATTACTAGTACTAAAGGTGTATATCCCCTGATCCAACTAAACCTTGAATGTTTGCTTTAAATTTCTGAGCAGCTGGGATTACAGACATGTGCCCCCAATCCTAGTTCTAATATTTGTCCTCTTTTTAAATATGCTGCTGCATTATGGTGTTTTTTTTCTGATAGGATTATCATTTGCTAACATCACTCTTTTAAGCACTTGCTGAAGTCAGACGAGATACAGGACAGTAAGAGGAACACAGAGAAACCCAGTCTCAAAAAACAAAACAAAAACTAAAAAAAAAAAAAATCACTTGCTGACAAGTGGATGTTCCTGGACACGAAGGAGTCTAAGATGCATTCTCTGCACATTAGCTGCTGAGGACATCTCTGCTTACTCAGATTCCCAGAAACAAAATTATGGGGTTGAAGAATGTACACACATCTGGGCTCTTGGTGAGCACAGCCAACTGTCCTGAAGACAGATGACCATTTACACTGTGTCTGTCACTCCAGGTCTGGTTATTTCCTGGCTTTAGACCAGACTCTTAGGAAAGTTGGTCTTGGGGGCCTTCACCCCCCTTCTAAGATGTTAAGCTGGCTGATCCTGAGGCTGCCTCTGTGCTGTGGCGTTAATGGTATGTAACTGAAGTCTGGTTGGTACCTCATTTAGAAGGTCCTGAATAGCCGGTGGTGGAGTTTCAGTTGATCACAAAGCTGAGCTCCCTCCAGCAGGTCTGATGTGCTGGCCCCTCTGCTTCTATCTGTTGGGTTGGCTTACAGCCTTGGATTCCTTTGGATGTGTTTTGTTACTGAATTAAATGAACAAACAAAAAAACCTAGCCATGCATATTAAAACTGTCTAAAAATGGAAAGCAGGACTATAGAGTGAATTCTAGGCCTGCCAAGCAATTTGATGAGACCCTGTCTCAGAAAATTATCTGGCAAGAAGGCTCAGCAGGTAAAGGTTCTTGCCAAGAAGCCTGCAGTCTGAACTCATTCTTGGGACCCATATGGTGTAGGGAGAAAACCCACTCTGCAAATTGTCCTCTGACCTCCACATCCGGGCCACTGGCACATGCCCACACACAGGCATACACACAACAAATTAGTGGGATCAAAACCTCTGGAGCAGCTGGGGCTATGGATGCTGGGTAATTACATTCTTTTAATATCATATAGCCTGTGTGGTCAAACAGAAAAGCTGAAGTGAGTAAAGTGCCCAGGGTTTAGAACCTGCCTCACCTGTTTGCTCTCCTCAGCCCTCTGTTTGGCCTGCTTCCGCATTCTTGACTATTTCTGACAGCTTTCTGAAAAGGTAGAGAAATTATTTCCAGATAAGATGCCACATGATAATGATTTCCCAGCATCTCAGCCAACACTGATGAAGAGCTGAATTTGGAGCAAGCTAATCAAAGCCCCAGATCACCCTCTAAGGAGGCTCTACTACACCACTCCTACTATCTACAGATGGCCTTGTACATAGAGTCAGAGAGCCACCTGGGAGTTGGAGTCCCTACACTATGTCTGCAAAGAGAGGAGCACAGTGAGACATAGCAGTGTCAACATTTATCCCATGATTACTCTTCACACCCTGCCCCACGCTCTCTCTCTCCTTGTGTTCATTCTCTCATTGGGAACAATCTCCACACTCATTGCTTTTAGAGGAATAGGCTCCTTGCCATTTGCCATGCTCTTCAGGCTACAGCAGCCTCTGGGGACCCCTTTGTATGACTTGAAGCTGATTCATTCCTCTGGGAACAGCAGACAATTCATTCCAAATTTCCAAATCATTCCTGTTTCTTTTGTCTCCAGGAAGATGTTGGAAACCAGCCCAGGGGTGGGGTAGGATGGGCATGAGGAATGAAAAGACAGTTTTTGTTAAAGCTTAGGAGGTGGTGAGCAACACTGTTTTACTGTTCCAAGCATCTTTATTCTTTGGGACCTAATGAAATTTCTTGAAGTGTGACAGGTCAAGACAATGTAGAAGTTCCTCCATCTTGTATTCTTTGCTGAGGCTACTTCAGGTTTAACTAGAATTTGATCTCCTTGATGGAGAATCCATCCCATAGAGAATTACCCAGCTCTGTTCTAGGAACTCAAGACCAAGCAGCCCCAGCTAACTTTATCTTAGCCTCTGCTAAACTGCTTACCTATTCAGAATCCCTCCAGCTAACCCCTTATCTCAGCATCGGTCAAATTGCTTACTTGTGAGAAGCCCCCACTGCAGCTGCCCAGTGAGGTGCCAGGACATGGTTTCTGCCTTCAGAAACCCGTGTTCTGGACACTCTGTTCTATATGTAGGACCCAAATATTTGAGTGTGGTCCCAGCCAGCTGGAATAAAGACTTTCAGCTGGCAATAAACTATGTCTGAGCGATCGATCATGTCTGGTGGATTCCCTGTAACAGAGACATAAACTGTAAGATGATGGACAGCATAGACAAATGCCATTATCATCATAAAACAAGGATTCACTGGAGTGTGACTGGAATTACAATGACAACTAATTCTAACACGTATTACACATATGGCGTGCATCTTCCCAAAGATGGAAGTCAAACCATGTTTTTAACTCTCCTTTACTTGGAACTCACTTGAAAATAGATGAGGAAACCACAGTTGAAAAGAAAGTATCGAGTTGACTCATTGAAGTTTTCATTTTCATTCACTTTTGGCATTCATCCTAGCATTCATCAAGAGCTTTAGAAACATACAGCAAGATGTGTGTGTGTGTGTGTGTGTATATATATATATATGCTGGGGATCAAACTCTGGGCTTTGTTTCTACTAGACAAGCACCCTACAGCAAGTCATGTGTTCAACCCTGCAGAGATGAACTTTAATAATCTAAGACAGCCAACAGAAAAAGATGCGTGTTGCCAAGTCTGATGACCCAAGTTCGAGCCCCAGCACCCACATGGTAGAAGGAGAGAACCAGCTCCTTCTGATGCCTCAGGCTGTCCTCTGACCTCCATGTCTGGGCCATGGCGATGCCCACCAATCCCCTCCTCCCCCACACAAAGTAAATTAATGTAATAAGAACTTTTAAAAATAGTCGATACAAGCCAAGCAGTGGTAGCACACGCCTTTAATCCCAGCACTCGGGAAGCAGAGGCAGGCAGATCTCTGTGAGTTCAAGGCCAGCCTGGTCCACAGAGTGAGTTCCAGGACATTCTCTAAAACTACAGAGAAACCCTGTCTCGAAAAACCAACCTCCTCAAACAAAAACAACAACAAAAAAATAGTCTTTACAGGCAAGTTGCTTGCAGTTCCTAAGAAGAAATTACTGAGTGCTGGTATAGTATTAATTAAGCCATTAAGTACAAAAATACTGACTATAATTTAGGCAAAAAGAATTTATTAGAAGTGTATGGGCACTCCATTAGTCACAGCAGGCTAACCTATACAACTGTTGTTCTAGGTCAGGCTACATATGTCCTATGGGTCTGTGAATCGGGTTAGCTTTCTGTCATTATTACAAATGTTTGTGATAATAAAATTAGAAAATGTGTGTTTGGGGTCAAATTTTGGAGGTCTCAGTCCATGATTTCTTGGCCCTGCCTGTTGCTTTGAGGCCTTTGGCAAGGCCCCCTGGAAGAAGCACATGAAGGAGGAAATGTGTTCACCTCATGACCAGGAAGTGAGGATGAGGAGGACAGAGAGGCTAAGGGTCATAATCCCCTTTTAAGAGCATGCTCCAACAGCCTAACGAGCCCAGGCCTTGTCTCTGAAAGGCTCCTCCACACCCCAAAGCAGAATGCTTTGGAATATTCCAGACCCATTCAGTGGTAGCTGCTTCTGCCTCCAAGCTCACCCAGGGACTCCGAGAAGTAGAGGCTCCACCATCTGCAATTGTGCCATCTAAGACACAAAGTCTTTTGTAACAGGGAGTAGACAGACCAAAGCCTGACACAGACTGTGTGTGTGTGTGTGTGTGTGTGTGTGTGTGTGTGTGTGTGTACAACTCTAGTTTGTTCTTTTTGTTAGTTTTTGTGGGGTTGTGTTTTGCTGTTTATCCATGCACCAACTGTGTGCTTAGTGCCTTGGAGGCCAGGAAAGGGATTCAGATCCCTTGGGACTGAACTGTCTATGGATACTGTAAATCAAAACCATGTCCTTTCAGAGAACAGCCAGCATTGTGAAGCGCTAAGCCATCTCTCCAGTCCTGTTCCATCCTCCTCCACCACCACCACCACAAAAAAACAGTGTGATAATTAACCTCCTTTGCCAACTTGACAGGATTTAGAATGACCCAGTGGCAGCAAGATGTTGAGTAGGTGAAGGCACCTGCCACCAAGTCTGATCATCATGTTCTACGCCCATGCCGGTAAGGTGAAGAAGAGAACCCGCTCCTGCAGTTTGTCTTCTGACCTCCACTTGCATGCCCATTGTATGGTGTGTGTCAATAAATAATAAATATAAAAATAATTTAGAATAACCGGGGAGACAGGCCTCTGAGTGTCTGTACAGTCTTTCCTAAGGTAGTTGAGTGTAGGCGGTACTATCCCACAGGAAATGAGAAAATCATTGGATGTGGGAGTATTCTCATGCCTCCCCTTCTGACCCCACCTTGCCATTCATTGTGTTGCTCTCTCCAGCCCACAATGTCAGGAACCATCTGAAGCCTGAGTCAAAATAATTCCTTCCTTCCCGTCTGTCGGGTGATTTGTCACAGCAAGAAACAAAATCCCACAATGGTTTTACAAGAAGAGTACATTCAAGACTTGAAGAATGGGGTTGAGTCATTGAGAAGGGAGGCCAGCCCAGGCTAAGATGGCAGAATGGTCTTTTGCAAGGAAGAGAGGCTATGCAGATGACCAGCAGAAGGGACCTCTGGTTACTTTCCCACTCCAGTCCACCTGGTTCACTAATGTCCTGTGTGATGATGGCTTAGGGGGCATGAGGAGGTGGGGTGGTATGTTACTGACTTTGGAGCCACAGCCATACTCCCATTGGGCCTTTCCTGGCAGTTATCTTACACTTCCTCACAGGCTGCCTCAGGAAATCTGGGTTTCTTGGCTTAAGGCTGCTGGCAGAGCAGAAACGGGTTTTTCTAGGTCTTCTTAGGGACATTTGCTGTCTTCTTTGTACACTGTATCTGTCACTTTCTCTATTGCCATGACAACATATCTTAACAACAACGGCTTAAGGAAGAGGGGTTTGTTTGGCTCACCATTTGAAGGTTTAATGTAGCCCGACTGCAGAAGTGTGAGGCAGCTGGTCACATAGCACCTACAATCAGGAAGCAGCAGGAGAGAGAAATGCTGGTGTTAAGCTTACTTTTCTCTCTCTCTCTTTTCCAACATAATATTTTTATTGATTATGTGGAAATTCTCACAATGCACCTGATCCACCCTTCACACCCCCCAACGAAAGAAAAAGTACACCAAGTCCAATTTGTGTTGCCCATGTACTCACTGGAGCATGATGGAACTCCCAGGGTCCAGTCCCTTAAAGAAAACTGTGTCCTCCCCGCCCACCCTGCCAGAAGCCACAAACTGTGAGAAGCTACACTTCAGCATGCCAATCACAATTTTTAAGGGCTCTCATCAATGATTTCCTGTCTGGATTGTTTCTTTGTGGGGGGGGGAGGTTGTCACTGAAGCCTTCTATGTCTCTCATTCTCAACTGTGAATCTGCAGCCATAGAAACCACTGCATAAGAAGCTTCCTTGCCTGTAGGAAGCAGCAACAGCACAGATCATGGACTTCCACATGATTTCTGGTAACAGCATAGACCATGGACATCAACACAGCTTCCGGGAGAAGCACAGACCATGCACAACCAAACAGCTTCCAGTGGCAGCACAGACCACAAATCTCCACATGGCCACCAGCGCCAGCATAGACAACAAACTTCAATATGAGCCTCAACTGAAAAGCACAGGCTATGGTCAAGGACATGGCTTCCAGCAGCAGCAGGAACATGGATAACAACATGGTTCTCAGGGACAGCACAGGCCATGGACATCAACATGACCTCTGGTGGTAATGTGGACCAGATATTGTCATGACCTCAGGTGGCAACACAGACCACAGACATCAACATGGCCTTAGGCAGCAGCACAGACTGCAAATATCCATATGTCTGTCCTCCAGTGGTAAAATAGACCCCTGACATCATCACCATGGTCTCTGGTGGCAGCACAGACCACAGATACCAACATGACCTCCGGTGGCAGTTTTCCAACAGGGTCCAATGCAGAAAATGAACCATTCTCCATCTCGGACATCTGTAGTTGCTCAGAGCTAGGGCAATCGTGCAGCTAGGCAACAAGTTCAGGAGCAGAGCCTGCGCAAGCTGAAGGCTGCTGCTCACCATCCTGCCAGCTTTACACGGCAGTGACATGTTCCCTCATTACTGAAGCCATGTCCCCTCCCCCTGCTGCTGCTGTTGTCTCTAATTCTGACTCTGTGTACACACTGCTCTGTTCTGACATCCTTTCCACCTCTCCATCACACTTTTGTTCAGCAGAGTGACATTGTAAATGCAGTGTGTCACACACAGTGTGTGTGTGTGTGTGTGTGTGTGTGTGTGTATGCATATATTTATTTGCCCAAACAGCTTTACATGCGAATACTTACTGCAACAGGTCATTGGTCTGTTTCAAGGTTTCTGGGTTCTGGAGAATAAATACTGGATTCTTGCTGAGACTCATCTCAGATATCCTGTTGTTACCCAGAGTCAGAGAGATGATGAAACACTGAGGGGCATCCAAGAGTAGGATCCCAGCAAGCTCCAGGCCACTGCACACTTCCCTGCCCTCAGTGCTGCCTGCCTCTGAGCCTCCATGGGTCTCTCAGGCATCTTGGAGCTTCTCTGAGATCCTACATGCAATGAAGCTGTTCAAATTTAAAGTAGTTCTCTGGCCTCAATAAACCCAATCTAGAAGCCAGGCATTGGTGGCGCATGCCTTTAATCCCAGCACTCGGGAGGCAGAGGCAGGCGGATCTCTGTGAGTTCGAGGCCAGCCTGGCCTACAAGAGCTAGTTCCAGGACAGCCTCCAAAGCCACAGAGAAACCCTGTCTCGAAAAACAACAAAACAAAACAAAACAAAAACCCATTCTAGAAATGTCCTCGCCGACGTGCTCAAAGGTTTATCTCGAGGGGTAATTCTAGGTCCCGTCAACTTAGGACAGTACCAACCATGGAACACACTGAGGTAATCTGTTCTGAGGACCTGTGCAGGCTCCAGGTGGTGGTGAGGGAGAAGGCTGGCACCCAGGAACAGGTGGGTCAGAAGCAACTTCATCTAGGAACTGTGGAGGCTATAGGCATACTGTGTTCCTACCATAGCTCAGAGGAAGAAGCTGGCAAGAGGCTGCTGGACTGCACAAACAGGAAATGCTAGCTGGAAGAGCTAATACTTCTAGAACCTAAAGAAAATGATTGTGCAGTGGGCAGGGAGGCAGTCTTTCTCTTCATAGATCCATTTTAAAAGTCATTCTTCTTTTGTGTGTTTGCTGTGCCTCCCCACACAATCTTCTCTTTTAGTCTTGTGAGATAAGATCTTGTTTTGTAACCCAGGTTGGCCTTGAACTCACCATGTAACCTAGAATGGTCTCAAATGCATGGTGTTCCAGTCTTAAGTCCACAGAATGCTAGAATTGCAGGCACACACCACCTCACTAGCTCCATTGGCTTTTATTAATGAAAGAATCACAGTTAAGCTGTTAATAAGCAGGCAAATAATCCATTACGTAGCTTGATGTTTAGGATGAAGCCTTGTAAAATGAGCTTGATATGCAAGAACAGTGATACAGGATGCTTATTTTACGTCTGCGTGAGCTGCCAATCATAAAAAAGAAAACATTTTTTTCATGATGGGTGATATAAGACACTACATTTTGGAATTTATTTTCAAAGAGGAAGAAGTCCTTTGGGTGCTCTCCACTCAGCTCACAAATAAATACTTGGAGGCTTATTCTTACTTATGAAGGCCGGCCTTACCACTTGGCTTATTTCTAGCCAGCTTTTCTTAAATTCTCCCATGTACCTTTTGCCTCTGGCATTTACCTTTCTCTGTTCTTCTCACTCTGTGGTTGGCAGTGTTGGCGGGTGGCTGGCTCTTGGTGTCCTCCTATCCTTCTCCTTTTACTCACTCTTTCTTTCTCCTTCTATTTATTATCTGCCAGCTCCACCTGTTTCCCTTTCCTGCCTCACTATGGACTGTTCAGCTCTTTATTAGACCAATCAAGTATTTTAGACAGGCAGATTAGCACAGCTTCACAGAGTTAAACAAATGCAACATAAAAGAATGCAACACATTTTTACATCATTAAATAAATGATCCATAGCATAAACAAATGTAACACACTTTAAATTAATATTCCACAGCAAAGAAGGAAAAGGATTTCAACAAAATAAAGGATAAACACAGTTCCTAAGAAAGGCATAATAAAACACACAGGCCATGTGCTTGCATGTAAAACTTTATTCCCTACAATGGACAGAATGCAAAGCCTGTAGTGGGTTTGTACGTAGGCTACAGTCTACACTCGCTTTGTGGGTTACTAGTCTATAACAAACGTTTCACAGTCCATATGTTCCAACATTCCACTGACCTAGAAATAACCCAAAATATCATATTTGCTCTTAAAAATCTCCAGGAAAACAACACATGAAAATAACACTGACCATTTTCTCAGCTATTACAAAACTGGGCTTTGTAAAGAATGCAGATATCAACAAAATCCTGTACATATATTCTCATCCCATTTAGCCATATCAGGAGCCATTGATCTCTTTCTTTCCTTCTTTCTTCATTTCTTTCATTTTGTCTTTTCTTTTTGGTTTTCAAGACAGGGTTACGGCTCTGGTTGTCCTGGAACTCACTTTGTAGTCCAGGCTGGCCTGGAACTCACAGAGATCTATCTGGCTCTGCCTCCCAAGCATTGGGATTAAAGTCATGCATCACCATTGTCTGGCAGAAGGCATTGATTTCAATGGGAAAGTTGACTTGGTGTTTAGAACAGACCATGCCCTGACATGAGGAGTCCTTCCCATTTCCTCCTTCTTCTTCTTCTTCTTTTGTTTTCTCCAGAGACGAAGCAGACAGCATGTTTCATGTGCAAGCTTAGTGAGATACATAGTCTCTTTATTGTTTGATAATTTCACATATGTATGTCAAGGGTTTTGACCAAATCTATCTCCTCTTCTCTCCCTTCCAACTCTTCCCCTATCCCCCTCCACCACATTCCCCTCTAATTTCATATGTTCTTTTTAAAAACCCACCAAGTCCACTTAGTGCTGCCTCCATGTGGGTGTGTCTAGGACAATCTACTGGAGCATGGGCAGTTTCTTTGAGGCAGCATCCTTGAAGGTTCTCCCCTTCCCAGAAGCCCACAGTTGCCAATATCTCCTCAACTTTATGATCCCTCGCTCCCTCCATCCATGCTGGGATTTTGTCTGGATTGATCATTTGTAGGTCTTAGGCATGCTATCACAGGTGCTGTGGTTTATATATGGTCCTATTTGTCAAATGTCTGTGCTGTTCAGAAAGTTGTTTCCTATGACTTATGTTTCAGGATATCAGGTCTTATACTGAGGTCCTTGGTCCATCTGGAGTTGAGTTTTTGCCAAGTGGGAGGTAAGTATCTAGTTTCATTCTTCTATATGTGACTATTCAGTTTGAGTAGCACCATTTGTTAAAGATGCTGTCTTTTTTTCCATCATATTTGGGTTTCTTTGTCAAAAATCTGGTGACTGCAGGAGCTGGAGCTTTTATTTGTTTGGGGTCCTCAATTCTGTTCTATTGATCAGCTTCTGTGTTCTGTGCCAGCACCAAGCTGTTTTTATCACTCAGTAATATAACTAGAAATTAAGGGATAGTGATAGTCTCCAGTAGTTTTGTTGTTGTTGTTGTTTTAAATTTATTTTTTTTTTTAATTTATGTGTATGTACATATATACGCATACATACAACTTTATGTGTACCACATAAGTAAAGGTGTCCTGAGGGGCCAGAGAGTCTCTTGGAACTGGAGTTGCAAGCAGTTGTGAGTAGCCTGATGTGGGTTCTGGGAACTGAAGGCAGGAACTGATGCAGACCACGGAGGATTGCTGCTTATTGGCTTACTCTTGTGGCTTTGCTCAGCCTGCTTTCTTATAGCACTGAAGGCTACCAGACCAGGAGTGTCCCCACCCACAATGGGCTCATCCCTCCCCTTATCAGTCCCTAAGTAAGAAAGTGCCTGACAGCTGGATCTTATGGAGGTATTATCTTAACTGCC